TCATTAGGACAAAAACATTTATTGTTTTCATTAATTACATGTACTACATAGTTAATATTAACTTGTTAAGCTTTGCACCTTTTGTGGTATAGCAAAGTGCAGTTTTGGTTCAAATCACAGTCAAAAGGTAAAACTATAAAAGAAATATAGCAAATTATGCTAGAATAGAAAGAATTTTTGTAGTTTTACCTAGGGCTGCACAATTTTGCATAAAATGACAATCATGATTTTTTTTCCTTAGAATTGAGATCACGATTCTCTCACAATTTTCTTTTCCAATATAAATATTTAATGCACTTATTAACTGCCCATCAACTTCGTAACAGTTGAGACTGAACATAAAAACAATAAATGTCTCACATTTTGTCGTTGCCACAAAATGTTGTACTGCTTGTAATTCCGTCTCCACCGTTGCTCGACACTGCGTGTATAGAGCAGGTAGTGCAACATTTTTAAAATAGTTGCGGGACGGTGTTCTGAGAAACCATCCTACTCTGACAAAACGTCCTACCTGTATTATAATTTGACAGTGACTTGCGACTAAACCTACCCCTACCCCTAACCCTAACCATAACCCTAACCATAACCCTAACCATAACCCTAACCATAACCCTAAGAAGTATTCCGGATGGGTAGGAGAAAAAGAAGTTAATTCGGCGTTGGTGTTGTGCGCATGCGCCGCGTTTGCGCAGAAACATTGGGTAGGATGTTTTTTCAGGTAGGATGGATTCCCGTCACTTTCTTGGCCTTAACAGCTTCGTCATCTCTCACGTGCTCTCCGTTGTTTTTTCCCTGCCAGCTGACTTCTGTATCACGTGGTATAAGCCTCCGCCCCTGTCATTTGTTGAGCAGGAAGAGTGAGCGCTTGTTTTCATGCATGGAATTTTTTTGTAGAGCTCATTTTCCTTTATTTTGAAGGCTGTTTTTTGGAATATGTTGTGCTATACTGATATTGTCACTGGGATCAGGTAGTAGATGAGGTTTCCCATGTCAATCCCTATCCCTCTTTATGTTGAAACGTCCTTGGCCAAGGAACCCCAAGTTGCTCCTAATACCATACCTTTTTTGTCATATGGCAGCTTTGTGCCATTGGTGTTTTAGTTTGTGTTGTAGAACCGCTAAGGCTGAAAGGTCTAACCAGTGCAGATTATTTTATCTTTCTATGAAGACAAGTGAAAATGTAAATTCAGTCTGAGAACGGTGTATCTATAAATTAATGTTCTATTTTGTTCAAACCAAATCAAATCAAGTAGTTCTGGTAAACAGCTCTCAGAAATGAGCCCCAAAAAACAGACAAGCTCCAAGACAAACAGATGTCAGAGCAATTATAATACACTGGCGCTTGAGGAAAATATTCTGCATGTACTGTGAAAAGGAGATATGATACTTTATGTGCTACGTTTACTGGTCATTACTCAATTTAAAAGGCCAATGTCAGACAGCATGGAGTGCCACTGTTGTGTGAACAATTGCAGCTGCTGTGTCTGTCTGTGACAGGTGAAGCTGCTGCTCAATATGGTTATTGTGCAAACTTTCTGCTGAAGTAACACTTTGGTTTAGTCATTGTCAAAAACTCTAGGTTTTTGTCAAAACATGTTTATATTAGTATAAGCATTTAATCTTTGCTGTTATGGAGTCAAAAACCTGTAGTTACTCATCTCTCTCATAACTGGCTAGATGTAAGTAGTTTTACTTGCTGCTTACTGAGCAGCCTTTTGTGGTGAAGGTTTCAAAACCAATTTAATTAACAGAGAAAAATTCAGAACTTGTTGTGGCATTTCCAGAGAGCTCACTGAACTTACCTTCACCCCAGCCCAAGATTTCATTAAGGCTGTGCCAAGCGGGTGTTCGTGTCAGGCTTAAATTTCAACCCACTCATAAACAGCCTGCTATATTAACTTGTTTAGGGACAGCTGCCTGTGGTGTGGATCATGCCTCTGTGTATGTGTTTGTCTGTCTATGTATCAATAAATCTGCTGTCTGTGTTTGTCTGGCTGTCTCAGTTGTTTTTTTT